TAACCACGTACACGAAAGCGCTGGGGCTTCAGCCAATGGCAGGTAGGATGGCTGAAAAGTCATTTCAGGTGAAAAAGCACTTTGGTTTCCTTTTCACCTAAAGACTTCTAAAGAGTCCAATGAGACGCTCTGGTTTAGCTTACTCTGCTCTGGGATGAAACCCAGAGCATCAGATGATGCTAAGCACACAGTGGTGGTGGTGGTTGCTGTTGTTGGTGTGTGTGTGTCTGTGTGTGTACATGTGTAAAAAGAGACAGAGATAAACACAGAAAAAGAGGAAGAAAGACACTGAGAGACAAAGACACTAAAAGGAGGGAGATCAGATACACACAGGGACAGAGAGACCAAGAGAAAGACAGACAAAAACAGACACACAGACAGGAAGAGACAGACAGATGCTAACAGTACAGAAAGAGAAAAAGAGACACTGAAAGTAGACAGAAAAAGAGAGACAAAGAGAGAGGCAGAAAGAGACAGTGTGTTCTCTGAATTCTGTGTGGTCACTCCTTAACGAATAAAGCTGCTTTTCCTCAACCTACCCCAGTACTAGAAACTTCCTGTGATGTCCACGCAGGAAGCCAGGTCACTTGGCTAGAATTGAGCAGATCTGGATACTAGGTAAATCCTTTTCCACCTCATGCTTCTTAACTGCCCCCCCATAACTGTTTCATGTTTTGTTCGCCCTGATGAGGCACCCACATGCACACACATGTGAGCACACGCATCCACATATGCCTGGGTGAGAGTTCTTCCGACAAGCCTGCAATGGCTGCTCCAAGCAGTGCTGGATGTGCAGCCTGGGGTGTGTGTAAGAATCCAACCAGGGGGGCTGGGAAGGTGGCTCAGTGATAGAGTGTTTGCCTTGCATGCCTGAGGCCCTGGGTTCGATTCCTCAGCACCAGAAAAAACTGGAAGTGGTGCTGTGACTCAAGTGGTAGCATGCTTGCCTGGAGCTAAAGGGTACAGAGACAACACCCAGGTCCTGAGTTCAAGCCCTATAACCAACCCAAAAACAAAAACAAGAATCCAACCAGGTCCCCCCAAAAGGCAAACCAAGGGAACATACTTTACTCAGTCACTCAACTAACACAGATGTCACCTCGATAGATAGCTCTTTCCCAACCAGAATGGGGCATCTGGGATTAGGTTCTACTGGGAAGCCCCACCCTCCTCCTCTTCAATGCCCACCAGAGGTCGCCCAGCTCTGCTTCTGCTTTCTGGCCTAGGCCAAGCCCTCCCGTACCCCTTCAACTTCTACCTGACATGCTCATTCACGACAGAGTGGTGTGAGTAACAGAGGGGAAAAGATGCTCCCAGCTGGGACCAAGGCAGCATCTAGTATTGCTGACTTTATTTTTGTCGGTCATGGAGCTTGAACTCTGGGCCTGGGGGCTGTCCCTGAGCTCATCAGCTCAATGCCAGCACTCTACCACTTGAGCCATAGCGCCACTTCTGGTTTTCTAGTGGTTTATTAGAGATAAGAGTCTCACGTACTTTCCTGCCCTGGCTGGCTTTGAACCGGGATTCTCAGATCTCAGCCTCCCGAGTAGCTAGGATTACAAGTGTGAGCCACCAGCACCTGGCTACATTGAATTTTTGACTTACTCTCCACCCATTTCTCCTCTTCATTCATCTACTCCTTTCTCCTGGTTTGTTTTCTTTAAAAAAAAAAAAAAAAGGTCTCAAGGGAGGCCTTTGATTCTATCCCCAGCATATCTCATCCCCCCTCTCTCTCCCTTCCCCCCTCTCTTTCTCTCTCTCTCTCTCACACACACACACAACACACTCATCTTCCCACCCACCAGCCTTTCCTTTCCCTTGCCCTGACTAAATCCTATACCGTTTCTGTCCTGATTGGCCTCTGAAGGCCATACCTAGTTGGTTCATTAATGCCAAAATTCACTATCATTTATAACGAGATTCAACTTCCTTCCCACCCTGCCTAAGGTCGAAGTAGTCTTAGAACCCACCATGTTCTGTGGCCCATTAATCATGCAGATAAAGTATTTCTTTGATTTGACACAAATCACTGCCCAGATCTTCTGAGAGTAGCAAAGTGTATTTTACAAGACCTCACTTAACTAACAGAATCACTCAAATGATCGTGATATTATAATGATGCCATCATAAGCTTGATTTTTGTTTTTGGGGCTTTTTTTAGTTGTTGGAGATTTACTGCCTTTATTTTACAGGAGGTGGTGGTTCACAAATTTCAGAATAATAATGTATAAACTAAGAATTCACGTACCAGAAAGCATGGTTTTAGACATTGATAGAAAGAAAGAAAAAGAGAGGGAGGGGAAGGAAGGAAGGAAGGAAGGAAGCAAGCAAGCAAGCAATAATGTGAGTCTGATATTGCTAAGATGCTAACTTTTAAAGACAGAATTATTTCAGTGTGCCATCACTATCTGTGTAGCCTCAAATCTTTGTGGAGGGCTCTATCAGGAGGGTGTCTTGGTTGGCAGCCATCCTGGGATTTTAAACATCCCACCCACAAAGGACTTGTTTATACAAAGGGCCGCTGAACTGCCAAGTGCTGGTTATTGTATTGGGGAGTAAGTGGGCGGGGATGTTTTTAGATACGGTTGAAGTCAGAAGCTGAAGATCAGAAGATATGAATAAGGAAGTTGTGTGTGTATGTGTGTGTGTGTGTGACGTGCGTGCACATGTGTGCACATACGCATGTGCATTCCAGTACTGGGACTTGAACTCAGGGCCTCACAATCTCACTTGTCTTATTTCTGCTTAAGGCTGGCACTCTGATCGCTTGAGCCAAACCTCTACTTCTCGCTCTTGGCTGGTTAATTAGACCTAGGAGTCTCACTGACGTAGCTTGCCCTAGGGCCGGCTTCTAACCACAATCCTCAGATCTCAGCCTCCGGAGTAGTTAGGGTTACAGGTATGAGCCACCGGTGCCTGGCTTTAAGGAAGCTATTCTTGAGAATGGACCCCACAGAGAGTTCCCTCCAGCTTTGCACAGGAAGTTCCACAGCCCATCCATCCTACAACCGCCACTTCCTAACTCCTTGTGACATCAGGAGAATGGAGACCCGTACCCCTTCAACTGCCAGGAGCAATTCACTCAGTCGATCCACTTGTTGCTGAGACAAGAGGCAAAAGCTTCAGGTTCTGGGAGACTGAGGCTGGCCCAGAGAAGCCCAAGTGAGGCTGAATTACTCCCCAGATGGCCAGCAGTGCAGAGATAAGTCTGTGTGTTCTAGCTAGGGGACCCACATTTGTTACCAAGCGGAGGAAGTCAATCAATCACGGGACCCCTGAGAAGAAGAGGACTAGCCAACTTGTTCATGGGGTTCTTTGGATCTAGAATAAGATCTCTCCATCTAGCCAAATTGTCTGTGTGTGTGTGTGTGTGCGTGTGTGTTCTTTCTACATTGCTCAGAACTGACTTCATATTTCTGCCTTCTAGGATGATAGGTGAGCCCCCACCAGACCTAGCTCACTCCTAATTCCTGCGTCTGCTGTGATTTATATTACGTTTGGAGACAGCGCCACAAACATAGGTCCAGCAGAAGGCCTCTCAAAGGAGAAGTTAGGAAACGGTGGTTTGTGGTGGCAATGTAGAAAGAGAATTGTTGCCTCCTCCTTTGTTTTTTTCCCTATCTTCCCTCCCACCACCACAACTGCTCCATGACAGAGCGCAATAATCCAAAGGCTTGTCAGAAAGGGACCCACTTACACGTGGGCTGACGTCAGGCCCAGAAACTCCTGACAGTACAGGGTACATAGCTCAGCCTGGACTTCTGGAACTAAGTCAAGGGGCCTGTGCTTGTGACAGCCATGGAGGGCAAACCCGTGGTGGGGCACTGTACCGGCAGGGATGCTCATACCCAAACCACCCTAACGCTTTTCTCAGAATACCACCAGCGCACAGCTTGAAGAGCCGTAATATAGAAAACAGCTGAAGTCGCCCCAGTGGAGCCCAGTGGATTCTGGGTAAAAGGCTTTGGGAGAGCCCTCTGCAGGAAGAGCTCAAGGAAGAGGCAGAAAACAAGTGCGTTCCTCGTGACGTCACCAGGCTACAACGTGATGTCATCCCTGCAAATGCAGGGACTCACTTCCTGGAACGGCCTATTTTTGTGGTTGTTCCAGTTCCTGGGGCTTTGAGCTCCTGGGCGCTGTTGTTCCTGAACTTTCTCACTCAAGGCTACAGCTCTTACCACTTGAGCCCCAGCGGCTCCACAATCTGACTTTCTGGTGATTGAGTTGGAGAGAAGAGTCTCATAGACTTCCCTGCAGCCGCAGGCTTGGAATTGTGACCCTCATTTCTCCAGCCTCCCGAGTAGCCGGGATTAAAGGCCTGAGCCACCAGCGGTCCCAGCCTAATAGAGGTTGGTAGTTTGACCCCAAGGAATCTAGGCCAGGATGAAGGTCAGGAGGAGGCGCAGGGCAGCCCCTTTCCTTCCCAGCTCCTCTGTAGTCTCTGAGAACCGGTGCTACTTTAATTACACCTGATGTGGGGGGAAATGCACCATGCATCCAAGGCAGAGATGCAGATGTGATTAAGACACAAGTGGAAGAACCCTTAGGGAGCTGGAAATTCTAGCTCACTGGTGTGCAGTGTGTGTGCCTCCTGACCTCCTGTGCAAATGGCCTGAGGTAGAATTCAGCCAGGGAAGACCTGTGGTGGAATTCAGAAGCTCCCTTGAGGAGAAACTTGTTCCTCAACGGCCCACTGAGAAACGAGCCATTGCTTCTGCGAATGCTGCTGTGAATGGGCGTGAGCTAGTGCGATGGCTTGGCAAGTACTGGTGGAGGCTGGGAAGGTGGCTCAGTGGTAGACTGCTTGCCTCGCATGCATGAGGTCCTGGGTTTGATTCCTCAGCACCACATACACAGAAAAAGCCGAAAGTGGTGCTGTGGTTCAAGTGGTAGAGTGCTAGCCTTGAGCACAGAGAGTCTCAGGGGACAGTGTCCAGGCCCTGAGTTCCAGCACTAGGACTGGCAAAAAGAAAAGAAAAAGTGGACAGCCAGTCACTTACGAGCTCTGAGAAGCCGCGGACCACCTGCCGCCTCTTGAGGTTGGTCTCGCCGTCCAGATTGGCGGTCTCGATGTGGCACAGGCCGTCCGGGTCGCTGGAGGACAGCAGCAGGATGTCCGCCGGGATGATCTCATTGCAGCGGAGCCGCACAAAGTCTCCCACGTGGATTTCTTTCCAGAATCGGTTCACGTATTTCTTCTCTTCCCTGGTAAAGAGACTTTAGTCAACAGGACTGATAAAAGCCTTCACACACAGACACACACACACAGACATACACACACACACAGACACACACACACACACACACACACACACACCACGTCCTGGGGCCTGAACTCAAGGCCTGGGTGCTGTTCATGAGCTTCTTTTGCTCAAGGCTAGCGCTCTACTACTTTGAGCCACAATTCCACTTTGGTTTTCTGGTGGTTCATTGGAGATAAGAGGCTCAGGGGGACTTTCCTGAGCAGGGGGACTTTCCTGCGCAGGCGGGCTTTGAACCCTGATCCTCAGAGCTCAACCTCCTTGAGTAGCGAGGATGATGGGCATGAGCCCCGGTGCCCAGCTCTGACATGAGCTTTAACACTGCTGAAGTTCAGGAAAGGCCATATAACCATTCTCTCCACTTCTGCATCTATTGAAAGTTTCCATAATGAATTAAAAAAAATAAGCATAAAACTAAATGTTGTTTAACTCCATTTATGTGAACAGCCCACATGTCACAAAATCTTACCAGATAAGAGCGTAGATTAGCAGCTGCTGTGGGCAGCAGGGAAAAACGAGAGAGTGACTTCTTTACTTCCAGGGGGTGACAAAAATGCTCTGGAGATGGGGAAGGTGGTGGCTCAAAGTCTGTCTGTGCAAAAAGTTAGCAAGACCTCATCTCAACTAATAAGCCAGGTATAGTGGCACACACAACGGGAATCCCAACCAGGAGTGAGATGGTAGATCAGAATGAACTTAGTCTGAGAGACTGCAGAATCAGCAGAAACACGGGGCAGCGACAAGGGGAGGGCAGAGTATTCTTGATCCCTGGGATCCAGACAGTCGGAAAGTGAGCACAGGCCTCCAGGGTGCCCAACCTCAGACGGCCAACATGGCAGGCAGGTGCTAAGTGAATGCACACGGCTGGAGACACAGTCAGAGCGATGCATGCACGCAAACATCGTTCTCTCTGCGTTTCTGGAAGCGGTAAGGTCCAGCGGCACACCCAGAGAAACAGAGAGGGTCCTCTCTCCAGACATTCCCAGCATGCATCTGTCTCCCCCACGGCCCCCTCCGTCACCCCTGGCACACATTTCACATCCAGATTGTTTAGTCTCTGAAGGACACAGCTGTTCTTGACAAACACATCTCACCCCGACCAGGGCCAGTGATGAACGCAGTCCTGGTGATTTTTTGTTTGTTTTCTTAATTGCAAGTTTTCAAGCCAGAATCCGCTGGCAGTCTAGAGATGAATTCCTCCAGGCACGGAGATAGTATCATGTTGGTAATAATAGAGAATCACAGCCCAGAGCTGGTGGCTCACAGTAAATCTGAGCTTCTCAAGAGGCTGAGAATTGAGAACTGCAGTTGGAAACCAGCTCGGGGGGAAGTCAAGTCAATGAGATCCTTATCTCCAAGGAACTACTCAGAAAAAGCCCAAAGTGCAGCTGAGGCTCAGGTGGTAGAGCGCTAGCCTTGAGCAAAAGAAGCTCAGAGCCAGAGGCCAGGACCTGAGTGCAAGCCAAGGTTGGCACACACACACACACACACACACTAATAATAATAGCAATAATAATAATAATAGAATACTGATGCTCACAGTGTAAGGTAATGGCTCACACCTGTAATCCTAAGCCCTAGGACTGGTACCATAAAAGAAAATGGAGGTAAAATTGTTCAGTCTAATAAGCTTGGTTTTAAGGAAACCCTACCTTCCAGCTCACTAAAGCACATGGACACGATTTCATTTACAACTTCAGGGGCTGTCTCTGGCTTCACTCTACACTACTGGCACAAAATGAGATAAGTATCTCCGATATTAAGCCAAGTGCTGGGGGCTCCCGCCTGTAATCAATCCTAGGATGCTGAGATCCTGCAGTTCAAAGCCAGACTGGAGAAGGAAAGTCTGTGAGACTCCTATCTCCAGTGAGATGCTAGAAAAACCAGAAGTGGAGCTGTGGCTCAAGTGGTAGAGCACTAGCCTTGAGCCAAAGAGCTCAGGGACAGCGCCTAGGCACCAAGTTCAAGCCCCATGACTGACCAAAAAAAGAAAATGCCCTTATGAGCCTCAGAAGCCATAGTTTGCAAGCTTCCCTCTGCTGTCTGGACGCACGGCTACCTGGTAGCAGTCAGGAAGCAACTAGTTGTCTGCCTTCGGGAGGAAGCCAGACATCTCCCTGCATTTCCAACGGCATCGACGGCATCCACGCTCTTGGACTCACACACAGGACATGTGTTCCACAGGAGGGGAAGCACGTGGCCTCCTCGGGATCAACACAACTTACAAAGCCATCTTTGTTCACTAGAAAAACCCTTTACATTCTTTGGCTGTATTAAGTCAGCGATGTGTCGCTGGGAGCCAAGATGATTTGGGAACTGTCCATGCTGGAGGCTTTTTCTTCTTGGACCAGAGCAGAAATGGAACAAAATGCATGGGATTTTGTCCACTCCAACTGACACATGACTACGTTCATTCCCAAAGCAAGGGTTCAGGCTGATCTGATGCCAAGAACATGGGGTGCTGGTGGCTCACGCCTGTAATCCCAGCTACTCAGGAGGCTGAGATCTGAGGATCGTGGTTCAAAGCCAGCCTGGGCAGGAAAGCCCAGGAGACTCTTATCTCCAATGAATCACCAGAAAACTGGTGCTGTGGCTCAAAGTGGCTTGGAGCAAAAGGAGCTGAGAGAGAGCACCCAGGAACTGGAGTTCAAGCCCTGTGACTAACAAAAACAAACAAAAAGCGTTGACAAGCACCGATGGCTTACATCTGTAACCCTTAGTTACTCAGGAAGATGAGATCTGAAGATCACAATTGCGTGCCAGTTTGGGCAGGAAAAACAATCTGTGAGACAAATCTGAAAGATTCTTATCTCTGGGGCTGGGAAGGTGGCTCAGTGGTAGAGTGCTTGCCTCGCATGCATGAGGCCCTGGGTTCGATTCCTCAGCACCACATACACAGAAAAAGCCGGCAGTGGTGCTGTGGCTCATGTGGTAGAGCGCTAGCCTTGAGTACAAAGCTCCAGTAAGAGCTAAGTAAGAGAGAGAGGCCGCCAGGCGCTGGTGGCTCATGTCTGTAATCCCAGCTACACAGGAGGCTGAGATCTGAGGATCATTCTCTTGCTCTCGCACACCAGAAGATTCTCAGAGTTCTGGCTATGGCGTCACACAGCTGCTACCGACAGAAGAGTTCTGGGGGTGGGGGCGCCCCCAGACAGGGCAGCTCAGGAGACCCTCCCACCCTGACTAAAGTCTGGGGTGCCCTCACCGCTTAGTGTTTGCCCTGTGTGCTCCAGCCCCATGCTCATACTTCAGTGTTCTACAGTTGCTTTCAATCTGAAGATGTCCTAGGGAAGATGAGTGTTTATGGGACATGAACTCAGGGTTTCCGTGCTGTCCATTAGCTTCCACCCCCCCCCCCACACACATATACATGAAGGCTGATGTTCTACATTGAGCCAAGCTTCAGCTTTGGGCTGGTTAACTGGAGATGAGCGTCAGGAACTTTCTGGCATGGGGCTGCCTCTAACTGCAATCTGCAGATCTCAGCTTTCTGCGTAGCTAGGATTACAGGTGTGAGCTACCAGTGCTGGCTATGTTGTTTGCTTTGAAAGCATAGCACTACTCCGGCTATACGGGCTCTCTTGCACGTGTGAAGAGTACACATTGGTGAAAACGAGCCAAAGAAAACAGCAGCCATATAAGCTCAGATCATAAGTCCAAGTTATGCATTTTTCTCATACCTTCCCATAATAGGCACCAAGTCAACAAGAGATGTTTATATTCTGCTCTGAAAACAGAGCAAGCACAGCACTGGAAGCAAACACCAAGAAGCAAGGGCTAGCCAGGTTCTGAAGCAGCCCTGACACCCACAGCAGCTCACGCCTGTAATCCAAGCTTCTTAGGAGACTGAGATCTAAGCAACCAGGAGAATGTGCTGGGTCAAGGCTAGGTCTGGGTATGTCTGCCTGATGGAGGGCAACCACAGAGACCTGCCTCAGGGGCCAGAGTAAACTGAGGCACGCTCCTGGGAGCTGGGAGCAGACCAAGTGCCGTAGTCCTGGCACTGTAGCATTGATAGGATTCTCCCTCAACACCCTTCCAGGATCTCCCCCACCCCACCCCCGCCCCCACGCCTTGTGTTTCCGTGTGGCTCCAGTGAACCAGATCAACACACAAGGAACATTTTATAACGGCAGCTGACCACTGCGGTTTGGGTTGCACCCTCTATAACACAAAAAAGCCCGGAGTTAAAACAGAAAAAAAAAGGGGGTGCGGGGGGAGGTTCTTTTTCTGTTGATCGTGAAACTTGAACTCAGGGCCTGACGCTGTCCCTGAGCTCTTTCGTGCAAGGCTATCACCCTACCACTTTGAGCCACAGCGCCACTTCCGGTTACCTGGTGGTTCACTGGAGGTAAGAATCTCACGGACTTTCCTTCCTCGGACTGGCTTCAAACCATGAACCTCTAATCTCAGCCTCTTGAGTAGCTAGGATGACAGGCCTGAGCCATCAGCACCCAGCTGGTTTTTTATTTTAAGTGCCTCTGGTTTGTCTCTCTCTCTCTCTCTCAACTGCTTCCTTAGTTTCTGACTCTTCTCCGGTGAAGCCCAAGGTATCGATCACACTTAAAAAGAACAAGTCAGGAACCTGGATTCCATTCTCCCTTGTGAAGCTTGGCTATCAAGTCCAGGGCAAGGCTGTTTGTTTCTGCTTTGTAAGCGAGGCTAAGTGTTCAGGGCCACACAGGCCACACAACCTCTTTGAGGAAACACTGCTATCAAAACAAATAAGTTTCCTTTTTCATTCAAAGTAGGGGGAAAATAACAAGGCCCTCCCTCCACTCAGCCATGAAGCCTTTTCCAGGAACACTTACATTTGTTCCTGAGGCGGTGAGAATCTGTTTGTACTTGTGATATCAAAGTTCTTTAATTGATCTATGATCAAACCTGCTTTAAACACAGAGGGGGGAAATACTCATTTTGTTCCAGTTTAAATTAAAACAAGCTATATTTGTGTGTGTGTGTGTGTGTGTGTGTGTGTGTATGTGTATGTGTGTGTGTGTGTGTGTGTGTGTTTGGAACTGTTTGTTTTTTAACACAGGGGAATATACTATTTTGAAACTTTGCTGGATTATTCTTTCTAGGCCATGAAAAAGCAGCCACAAATCTTATTGGTAATTTTTTGTTTTGGATTTTTGCAAAACACACAAAGCATGGCTTCTCTGTTGAAAGTGATGATAGACTCCCACTTTGAGTCAAGATGGAATTAAGAGTGGAGGATTTATCCACCTCCACAAAATAAAAAAGAAACATTCTTTCTTTTTTTTTTTTTTTTGGTGCCACGACTAGGGCTTGAACTCAGGACCTGGGCACTGTACTTCAGCTTTTTTGCTCAAGGCTGATGCTCTATGATTTGAGTCACATCTTCATTTCCAACTTTTAGATGGTTAATTAGAGATAAGAGTCTTCTAGACTTTCCTGCCCAGGCTGACTCTGAACCTCTATCCTCAGACCTATAGGCATAAGCCACCAGCACTCAGCTAAGAAATGCATTTTAAAAAATAGTTTTTCAAACAGCAGAAACTAAAGGACAATGATCCTCTTTTGTGGGGCAAGGTGAGGGCTATACCTGCCCTACTTCCTTTTTGTTTATATATATATATATATATATATATATATTTGTGGGGGGGTCTGGACATGGGGCATGGGGTTTGAACTCTGGGCCTGGGTGCTGTCCCTGAGCTCTTCATCTCAAGGCTAGTGCTTTACTACTTTGAGCCACAGCACCACTTCCAGTTTTCTGGTGGTTCACTGGAGATAAGAGTCTCATGGAGGGCTGGGAAGGTGGCTCAGTGGTAGAATGCTTGCCTTGCATGCCTGAGGCCCTGGGTTCGATTCCTCAGCACCACATAAGCAAAAAAAAAATCCAGAAGTGGCGTGGTGGCTCAAGAGGTAGAGCACTAGCCTTGAGCTGAAGAGCTGAGGGACAGCGCCCAGGCCCAGAGTTCAGGCCCCATGACCGGACTTCCCCCCCCCAAAAAAAAATAAACCCAGAGCAAATTTGCAGATTTGAAAACTACAATATCTGAGGGTTTTTGTTGTTGTTGTTGTTTAATCTAGTAATTGAAAGTTGGGTGCCAGTGGCTCATACCTGTAATTCTAAATACTCAGGAGGCTAAGATAGATATGAGGATCATGGTTTGAAGCCAGCCTAGGCAGGAAAGTCTGTGAGACTCTTATGTCCAATAAACTATTCAGAAAAGGTTGGAAATGGCACTGTGGCTTCAAGTGGTAGAGCAATAGCCTCAAGCACAAAGAGGCTCAGAGAGTGCCCAGGCTCTGAGTTCAAGTCCCAGGATGAGCAACAACAACAAACAAACAAAGAAGAAATCTAGGAGTTGAGAATGACCAGTAGATTAGCCAACTAGAAAAGAAAAATAAGCTACTGAATTTAAACACCAAGTACTGCGAGCTACCCCATCCAAGACATAGATTTTGTACAAAAGACGAGGGAAATGCAGGCTGACCACTGATGGTCAATTGCATGGCACCCGACAGCCATTCTCCATCGCCACAAAAACAAAGCCAGAAAGAGATGCATGCTAGTTAAATAACAATCTACATGATTACGACTACAAGTCTCAGGGCCACCGAGCGCCTGTAGAATCCCAGGATGAGACTACAGGCAGGCCACACATGTTCCAAGCCTGTTTCTCCTTTTATCTATATGGATTTCTCACTGCAGAAGAGGCACTGTGGCTCCCAATGGTCTCCAGGTTCTATTGCTAGCCCTTCCAAGATAGCATGGAATAGTCTGTCCCGTGGTGGTGGGGCGGGGGTGTAGCTGGGGGGGGATGCTGAGCTGCCAACCAGTCGTGAAAACTAGGGGGGGGAAAGACATACAAAAGACATGAAAACCTCAATAGGAAATGCAACCTGCACTGCCAACTCGGTTGGCTGCAGAGCCATCTCTCCAGATGAGCTGGTTTCTACTGTCACTCAGGACCACCACCAGGGGGCACTGTGCAGGCACCACCAGAGGGCATAGCTCAAGGACACACTTTCTGGCCCTCTTTTCCCTTCTGCCATTCCCACCAGCTTTTTGTACTTGCCATGACAAAATGCTGGAAAACAGGTAGGCGATGTAGCTCAGTGGCAGAGCATTTGCCCAGCATAGCAAAGAAAAGGGGGGGGGGTGCCCCGCTGGGAGGGAGGAAGAAGGAAGGAGGAAAAGCCAAACCCAAATACAAAGGAATTAATTCTGAAAAATAAAATCTTTTTTTAATTAGGCTTATTTTAAATGATGCTATTCTTTGTGTTTTTCCCCCCTGCAGGAAAGAAAAAGTACTGGCTATTTTAAACGAAAGACTGTTCTTATTTATTAGCCATCTTAGGGAAAATGGTAAGTTTATGGAAGTTTATGGAGCAATAGGAACAAAATTTTTAAAGAGTGTTGGATATGTTCAACAAAAAGACGGCTTTTAGTAGTAATTTTAGGGGAAATGGTTAACTTCGTGAAGAAACTGGCTGATCTGCTTGAGATCTTTTTGCTTTAAATGGGAGAGTCCTCTTCTTTTGCTTTAGTTGACTTGTTAGTTTAGTTCCAACATCTTGAAAAACGTAAAGGGCTGGGAATGTGGCTTAGTGGTAGAGTGCTTGCCTAGCATGCATAAAGCCCTGGGTTCGATTCCTCAGTACCACATACACAGAAAAAGCTGGAAGTGGCGCTGTAGCTCAAGTGGTAGAGTGCTAGCCTGGAGCAAAAGAAGCTTAGACAGTGTCCAGGCCCTGAGTTCAAGCCCCAGGACTGGCAAAAAGAAAAAGGAAAAAAAAAGCAAATGTAAGGAAAGGTTCATAATTCCACTTTCCTGGACTTTCGAACCCAGGGCCTCAGGCATGCAAGGCAAGCGCTCTACCACTGAGCCACCTTCCCAGCCCCACTTTCCTGGACTTTCGAAGGAAAGCAAGACAGCAGTTTCTTGAGCTACTTGCTCCCAGGCAGCCCTGGCTCCTTTTACTTCCTGGACTTCACAGCTTCAAAGCATGCCAGACGTCTCCCTCCTCTGCTGCTCTTTCCATTATTCAAAAGCAAAATGATTCTTGGGATGAGTGATGTTACCACCAAGAAATGCAAGCCACCCTGCCAGCTGCCACTTACTGGCTCTCCCCCCCCCCAGCCTCCTCACCAACACCCTGCCTAGCCCTCATCAGACAAGGCTGGACCCCAGAAGCGCTGCCTGCCCTGTGTCTGGACCTCTGGATATGACCCTGCCTGGCCCCTGGCTCTCCAAAGACAGCACAGCTCCTACCAACGCTGTGTGAGGTTCTGAGGTCTCAGGCCCCGCCCTTCCATGGCTCTTCAAGCTATCCTTGCACATGATTGGATGACTGCTATCCCCCTAAGAGGTTCTGCATTGTTTATACCCTCTCCTCATAATGCTGAATGTAGCTAGGCACTGGTGGCTTACACCTCTCATCCTAGCTAACCCAGGATGGCTGAGATCTGAGGATCCCAGTTCAAAGTCAGCCTGGGCAGAAAAGTCTGTGAGACACTTATCTCCAAAGAACTGCAAAACAAAAACAAAAGCTGGACGTGGAGCTGTGATTCAAGTGATAAGAGCACTAGCCTTGACCGTGCCCCCCCCCCAAAAAAAACCCAAAAAGCTCAGGGACAGTGTCCAGGCCCTGGGTTCAAATTCTAGCAGTGGCTTTAACAAAAAGGCCAGAAATGAGCTGGGCACCAGTGGCAGGTGCCTGTAAATCCTAGCTACTCAGGAGGCTGAGACCTGAGGATCACAGTTCAAAGCCAGCCCAGGCAAGTAAGTCTGTGAGACTCTTGTCTCCAACAAACCACCAGAAAACTGAAAGTGGCGCTGTGGCTCAAGTGGTAGAGCACTTGCCTTGAGCTGAAGAGCTGAGGGACAGCGCCCAGGCCCAGAGTTCAAGCCCCATGACTGACAAAAAGGAAAAAAAAAGGCCAGAAATGGAGCTTTGACTCCAAGTAGTTAGCAAAAAAGCCAAGTGAGAGCACAAGGCCCTGAGTTCCAATTCCTAACACTGGCAAAAAAAAATAAAATAAAAAGGGAGGAAGGGAGGGAGGAAAAGAAGGAGAGGTAGGAGGTGGGAGGGGTGGAAGGGGAGAGGCTGTAGGAGGGGAATTCCTAGTGTGGCACCTCGTTGGGGAATTCTATAAAAGCCCATGGGTTAAGGAAAGCTTTTTCATGGAGTTTAACCAACTGGGGACGATTTAGCAATATCCTCGAAATTCTTGGCAATCAACAACAGTCTTCATGAACCAATTCTCCACGGACGCCCACGTGTTCCCTTGATGAGCCAGGCGCCGTGCCAGCATGGCAAGTCTGCGCTTGGAGGTAGAAGTTGTAGGTGCAGCTCCTACCGCACTACCGAACCAAGTAAACAGGTGGAGAAGACACAGCATGGCCATATGGGCGCAAGAGGGCCATCCAAACCGTGCTGCCAGTCATTTTACCAAAATAAACGTCCTTAAAAACAAGCCCAAGCTGGGCACCAGGGGTTCACACCAGTCATCCTAGCTACTCACGAGGCTGAGAGCTGGGGATCGCAGTTCCAAGCCAGCCCAGGCAGGAAAGTCCGTGAGACTCTTATCTCCAATGAACCACCAGCAAACAGGAAGTGGGACCGTGGCTCAAGTGGTAGAGCACTAGCTTTGAGCTGAAGAGCTGAGGGACAGCGCCCAGGCCCAGAGTTCAAGCCCCATGACAAAAAAACAAAACAAAACAAAACAAAAAAACCCACAAGCCTAAGACAATTGTACTGTGATATATATACACACACATATACACACACACACATGCACTACTGGTGTGTGTGTGTGTATATATATCCCTGTCCCCCCTCTCAAAAAAAAAATCTATGCCTATCTAGAACCTCAGAATATGACCTTAGTTAGAAATAGGTCCTTCTATTTTCTCTTTTCTACTTTTTTCATTATTTCTTTGGAAAATGGAGTCTTTGCAGATAAGATTCATTAAGAAAAAGTTACATTGGAGCATGCTGGGTCCTACTCCAATAGTGTCTGTATAAGAAGAGAACAGAAGCCAAGTGCCAGTAGTGCACACCTGGAATCCCAACTATGAACAAAAAAGCCACACAAGCCAGGTGCTCACGCCTATCATCCCAGCTACCCCAGAGGCTGAGATCTGAGGATCAAGGTTCAAAGCCAGCCTGGGCAGGAAAGCCTGTGAGACTTATGTCCAATGAACCACTAACAACAAGCTAGAAGTAGAGCTATGGCTCAAGGGGTAAAGTGCCAGCTCCGAGTTCAATTCCCAACAAATACACAAGAAATAAGAAAACATATGTCTACACTAACTTGTACATAAACGTGCACAGCCCAAAAGGAGCTAGGATTACAAGCTTGTAACCCTTTGGCATGCCTCTAGGAGCAGAATGTACACGTCAATGGATAAGCTATCTACTGTGTGAATTGTGTCTCAAAAAGCTTGCTTCTGGGCTGGGAAGGTGGCTTAGTGGTAGAGCGCTTGCCTTGTATGCATGAGGTTCGATTCCTCAGCACCACATAAGCTGAAAAGGCTGGAAGTGGCGCTGTGGCTCAAGTGGTAGAGCACCAGCCTTGAGCTGAAGAGCTGAGGGACGGTGCCCAGGCCCAGAGTTCAGGCCCTACAACCAACAACAATAAAAACAACAAAAAAGCTTGCTTCTACTTCCTCCTCCTCTTCCTCTCTTCCTCCTCCTCCCCCCTCTTCCTCCTCCTCTTTTTTTGCTGGGGCTTGAACTCAGGACCTCATCTCCGTCATGCAGCTTTTTGCCTCTAGGTTCGCAGCATACGATTTGAACCATTTTCCACTTCCTCTCTAGCTTTTTGCTGGTTAAGAGTCTTCCAGACTTTCCTGCGTGAGCTGGCTTTGAACCTCCATCCTCAGATCTCAGCCTCCTGAGTAGCTAGGATGACAGGTGTGAGTCACTAGGGCCCAGCCTTAAAACAAACAAACAAACAAAACTATATAAATAAAACCAAAACCCATGAGACTTGTGATTATCCAAACCCACAAGGATGACAGGACCATGGGTGGCTCCCTGTCTTGTCACGGCGACACAGGGCTGGGACACTCGGCCTGACCTAGAGACATTTTCTTGGCTTCAGGAACTACACAGCCTTTATTTCTCATCCCAGGCAGAGGAAAGTCCGTCTCCACCTATGTTTGACCCTCAATGGTTTCCATTGCCCAGGTCAACTGTGATCCAAAGCTATGACATGGAAACTTCCAGAAAGAATCTCTTACATTGTAGATCGCATGTCATTCTGAGTCATGGGATAAAATCTCACACCGTCCCAATTCATTATCCCCAGGATATGAATCACTCGTGATCCAGCACATCGTACTGGACGCCGAGATGCTGGCCCAGGACACCACCCTGCTGGACACACCATCTGTTATGAGATCAACATGGAGTCTGGGGTCTCAGTTATTCCCTGCAGTAAAGGGTAAAATGGGGGGAGTGTCTTCTGTACCCCACTTTTTCTTCCCTTCAATTTCTCCTACAATTCCAACTCTACTGTCCCAAGAACCTCTCTTAATCTCTCCCTATCTCTTTAATAATTCTATCCCCAAGCCGGCACCGGTGGCTCATGCCTGTAATCCTAGCTACTGGAGGAGGCTGAGATCTGAGGATCACAGTTCAAGGCCAACCTGGGGGAGGGTCCGGGAGATTCTTATCTCCAATAAACCACTCAGAAAACCAGAAATGGAGTTGTGGCTCAAGTGGTAGAGTGCCAGCCTTGAGCTGAAGACCTGAGGGACAGCACACAGGCCCAGAGTTAAAGCCCTACCACCGACAAAACAAGCAAACAAACAAACAAACAAAAACCCCTGGAATACTTTGAGATTAGATGTCTAAGTTTTTTTTTTCTCTCCATAGCACATCTTTTGAGCCATCATAAAAGGAAGGTATCATAAACTGTGAGCTCAAGGTAAATTACGATGCACGGAAAAGAAAATTTTATGGGTCTTCCTAGAACAAAGATCCTGTTTAGGGTAATAAAGTGAGATTTTGCTACTTAGGACCATGGTCCAACTGTATTAGTTTTAATGATGACATATTTTAAAATAAGATATCCATTATCCAAGACAGTCAAAAGTGAATCAAATAATTCAAACTATTTTCCTTTAAAAATAATTTCCATTTTCCTAGGAGCCCTCAAACAGGAGGAACAGGCAGTCTAGATAGTTTTAAACATAGATGGCTTCAACCACTCCCCACCTGGTTTGGTTTGAGTTTTTTGGTGCTGGAAGCTGCCTGGAGTTCTTTAAAATTGTATAATGAACTGGGCACTGGTGGCTCACACCTGTAATCCTAGCTACTCAGGAGGTTGAGATCTGAGGATCACAGTTCAAAGCCAGCCGATGCAGGAGAACCTTACCTCTGTGAGAACCTTTCCTCCAATGAACCACTGAAAACCAGAAGCGCCCAGGCCCAGAGTTCAAGCCCCACAACCCACAACAACAACAAAAATTAACAATTTAAAAATTAAAAAAAATACATAAATAAATAACATTAACAGTGGGTTTACACACACACACACACACACACACACACAGATACATTTCACTGAGTAAAAGAACATTTGGAGGCAATGCTGTAATAAGCCAGGTAGAAGATGGAAGGAAGTAGGAAGAGAAGGAAGGGAGAAAGGGAGGGAGGGAGGGATGGGAGTGAAGGTCTGTCTATTTCAGGAACAGAATGCGTATCAGCCAGTGTAAGGCCTTAAGACCCATCCCTAGACTTGCAATGTACACACAGGTGAGTGTGTGTGTGTGTGTGCACCCCCCATACACACACACACAGTCACACAGACACATGGAAGTCATTATAAATAGAAACTGTGACGGTGCATGTCTTAATGAGTTAAATGTCCAGAACAGCTCTCACATTGGACTTGACTCAAATCTGTCAAAACCAAAGGAATAAATAAAAATACTGACCAGGCAATGATAGCAGTTACAATATGACATGTTACTGCTTATGTTTCCGCCTTTAAAAAAAAAAGAGAGAGATGAGGGACAGGACGTAATGAAATACTACCCAGCTCAATTTTTTCAATGCCTTTTTTTAGGAAATAAATGCCATGTATCTCTGGAGACTGCTCAATGGAGAACAATTATGTAAATTTCCCTCCCATTCTGTAAGCTGTCTTTCACTCTGTTTTGTGAGAACTGTTCTTTGCTGGTATTGAAGAAGCTTTTTAGTTGTCTGTTTGATGTTATCCCATTTGTCAGTTTTTATTGCTTTGGAGTCATAACCCAAAATAAATCCTGCCCTGTGCAAGGTCCACAATTACTTCCCCTATGTATTATTTATATAAGACATTCTGATTACAGAAAGAAAGAAAGGGGCTGGGAAGGTGGCTCAGTGGTAGAGCGCTTGCCTTGCATGCCTGAGGCCCTGGGTTCGATTCCTCAGCACCACATAAACAAAAGGAAAAAAGCTGGAAGTGGCGCTGTGGCTCAAGTGGTAGAGCGCTAGCCTTGAGCTGAAGAGCTGAGGGACAGTGCCCAGGCCCAGAGTTCAGTCCCCACGACTGGACCCCCCAAAAAAGAAAGAAAGAACAGAACATCTGGCAGGCTTCAGTGGCTCACGCCTGTCATCCTAGCTACTCGGGAGGCTCAGATCTGAGGATTTTAGTTCAAAGCCAGATGGAGCAGGAAAGTACACGAGACTCTTATCTACAATTACCCACCTGAAAACCAGAAATGGTACTGTAGCTCAAAGTGGTAGAGCTAGCCTTGAGCGAAAGAGCTCAGGAACAGTGCCTAGGCTCTGAGTTCAAGCCCCACAACCCCCCCCCACAAAACCCCACATCTAATGGATGTTGAAAACCTGATGTCTGCACAGAGACAAAGACACGTCAAAACAGCCTCCTCCTGAGAGCACCGGCTCTTCCTCAGATTATTCTGGCTTTCCGAGTCTGTAGACTGCCCAAGTCATTCCACATGGAGATGACTAAGCTAGACAGTGAGAATAGACTCTGTCACTGAAGCAAAAGAGAATTCCAACTTGGCAAGGAGTAACCAAGGCCAGGCCTCAACTGTGTCTCCTAACCTCCACCCAGCCTGGAGAGAAAAAGGCCAGAAAGAAAAAGAAAGCATGTGGCCACATGTGGCCACACAGTCAGTTGGCAGGCGACTGAGGGTCGCAGGATGCTCAAGCAGGCTCTCGCTTCAGTTTTAGAAGAACGGAAATGCTGAGAGCCAGGTTCTAAGCTGAGGCAGACCCAAGAGTTGTGCCTTCTGTCCAGTCAGGGCTGGGGTGACTCCTAGGGCCAGCCTGACTACCCTGCCCGGATCTGATTGGCTACAGAGGGAGCCAATCAGGTCTCTTCTGTAGCCAAGCACAAAGGAGTCAGAGTAAAATGGCAATACTGCCCAAGCCTATCTACAAATTCAATGCAATACCTATCAAAATTCCAACCTCATTCTTCAAGGAAATAGAAGAGGCAATCCAAAAATTCATATGGAACAATAAAAGACCCCGAATAGCAAAAAT